TACCTCCCACATTCACAACCACTTTTGGCTAAATCTTGTGCAAATGTAACTTCCTACTTTATGGTACGGTGTGGTTTGTTTGGTTTGTATGTTTGAAATACATAATTCATATCGCAGAGACTGAGATTGGTGTTCTGGAATTAACAGGCAGGGCTAGGCAGGAAGAAGGACCGATAAGGACTCTAAACTGTTCGTACAAATTTTATGCGTCATCGGTCCGGTTGATGAATCACTGTTCTCTAATTGGTGGTATCAATACGTTATATATTAATTGGGCACGAGGCCACAAGTTATAACAATTAAAAAAACTATTTCGTCCTAGTATGGGACTTATCAACAGTGAAAAATCACAACTCTTCTAAATACTGAATATAAAACCTTAAGATCTTGAGATGAGACCTTAACGACTAGAATCACTAGGTCGATATTAATTAATCAATTAATAAAAACAGGTTTATAATCAATCAATGCCATTAATAATGATTGTTTTTGCTTCCAACATATCTGAACTCCACCGTTTACGACTTCAGTCGATGATGTAATAATAGAAAAGAATTATCAGTATTACTTTAAACTTAAAATACCCAATGTTCACTTTGTTATTAATAGTGAATGAGTTAGTAAAGGTAAATTTTTCTCTAATATATAATAATAGTAATTTTTGCTTTGTGTTGTGATATTACAAATAAAATTAATGGTCATAATTACGTCATTGCGGGAATTAGGCACTTAGACAATTCATCTATTGGAGGATACGTATCTCACTGATCGAGATATGTAGTGAGCATCTTAATAAAATCTGAGAATCATATGGTAAATCGTTAATTTGCAAAATATCAATCCACCGTTTCAAATTTGACTGTTCCTTTGCAAATATCAATCCATTGTCTCAGATCTCATTTTTCATGCGTTTTCATACCAATCGCGTTCCGTTCCCGTTGTTTCCTTCTCGATCTTCTACTGAAATACATTCTATGCCTGAACACCGTTATATACTACTTATGTGGATATAAGTAACATACACCACAGATATATCACAGTGAATTATTATTATTTCTGTCAAATATATGGGATAATTTGTATGAATAAGTGATTATTTGAACTGATTTATCTCTAAGTAATAACTAATGTCACGTGGAGGACAATATCACAAAAGTTCAATACGGCTTTTCTTCGGGATACTGATAAACTCAACAAATTCAAGATAGCCCTCAGCAATAAGTTCCAGCCCTTTCATGATCTACTCAGTAGAGAAGGAACTTCTATGGAGAGCAACTGAAAAGGAATAAAAGAGGTAACCACTTCAACATGTCATGAGGTTCTGGGCCACAAGAAGCACCATCACAAGGAATGGATCACTGTTGATACACTGGATAAGATTCAAGATAGGAGGAACAAGAAGGCAGCAATCAATACCAGCCGAACAAGAGCAGAAAAAGCCAACGTACAAGACCAAATCGTAACTCTACGGATCATTGTGGAACAATCAACTGAATGGAGTTCATCACTCTACGTCAACTTCATTGACTACAATAAAGCATTTGATAGCGTGGACGGGTCAACACTATGTAGGCTTCTTTGATACTATGGCATGACTGAGAAGATAGCCAATATCATATGGAATACCTATAATGGATTGCACTGCAAAATCGTGCATGGAAGACAGTTGACAAAGTCGTTCGAAGTGAAGACCGGTGTTAGGCAAGGTTGCTTACTCTCACCCTTTCTCTTTCTCCTGGTGATCGACTGGATCATGAAGACGTCAACGTCTGAAGGGAAGCACGGGATACAATGGACATCTAAGATGCAGTTGGACGATCTAGACTTCGCAGGTGATCTGACTCGTCTATCGCACACGCAACAACAAATGCAGGAGAAGACGACCAGTGTAGCAGCAGTAAATCTTAACATACACAAAGGGAAAAGCGAGATTCTCCGATACAACACAGCATGCAACAATCGAATCACACTTGACGGAGAAGATTTGAAAGATGTGAAAGTCTTCACATATTTGGGCAGCATCATTGATGAACACGGTGGATCTAATGCAGATGTGAAGGCACGGATCGGTAAAGCAAGAGCAGCATATTTACAACCGAAGAACACCTGGAACTCAAAACAACTCTCAACCAACACCAAATTCAGGATTTTTCAATACAAATGTCAAGACAGTTCTACTATATAAGGCGGAAACTTGGAGAACTACAAAAGCTATCATCCAGAAGATACAAGTATTTATCAACAGCTGTCCACAAAAAATACTATTGATCCGTTGGTCAGACACTATCAGCAACAACCTATTGTGGGAGAGAACAAACCAGATCCCAGCGAAGGAAGAAATTAGGAAGAAGTGTTGGAAGAGGATAGGACACACATTGAGGAAAGCACCCAACTGCATCACAAGGCAAATTCTCACATGGAATCCTGAAAGCTAAAGGAGGAGGGGAAGACCAAAGAAAACACTACCCCGATAAATAGAGACAGATATGAGAAGAATGAACAACAATTGTATAGAAGTGGAAAGGAAGGCCCAGGACAGAGTGGGTTGTAGAACGCTGATCGGCGGCCTATGCTCCACTGGGAGTAACAGGCGTAAGTAAGTAAGTAAGTAATAACTAATGTCATGTTCATTTATTTATTTAATTATGGAAAGAATCCTGTTGATCAAGTTACAGCGCGATCCTTAAACTAAGTTATTGAACGTTATATACTATGTCGAAATGATAGGTGGTTAAATGTAGTCTGAGAAAAACCCTGAATCTACTTACCAAGGAGTACTTGTGAGCTTAAGAGCTGATACTGACTATAAGATAAGAACCTGTATCGTCGAGTTCCACAGTCTGAGATGTTACCACTGTTTTATTCGAGCAGGAAATGAATTTATGTATGAATAAGATCTTTGAAATGATTAACTTTTGAGTGGTGGGTAATGTTATGTTTGCTCAGACCCATAAATGTTGACCAAATTCTATTAGTAAAAATGATAACATGGTCTCTAGTTTGTGAGATTCAACTGTGTATTAAATGGTTAGAAGGCAAATGATTGAAAGCCCCTTGTAAAGTTTTTCACTCAAAGTTAAGATATATAACAGTTGTTAAATAAAATGAATTTCATAATAAGCAACTGAAAAATTGAATACAATTAGTTTTGTTGCTTACAAAGATGAATTTGCCAAAACCATTTACAATAGTGAAAAGTTGTTTTCATCATAAACAATGAACATCTAGGAGAATTATACAAATGTTTCGTTTATTATGAAACAAATCGATAGTGTTCACCTACAACTACACACTAAACTGAATTTAGGAGTTAAAGTTACACTGTAAATAGAATTTTACTGATCTACTAAGTCGAATAAATATTTGGAAAGTCTAGTGAAGACTGTTATTTATGCAGTCAATAGTTTCACAAGTAAAACTGTGGTGTATGCTACTTATGTCGACAAATATAAGTAGTGTGAGACACTAATCGTAAGTAGAAATCGTGGTAGCAGAAGGCTAAGAAGACCAAGTTGACAAGAAAACAAATACGGAAATAGGAAGAAATTTTGAATCGAAAAAATTTTGCAAACGAAGTATTCAGTGTATGATCCTCATATTTTACCAAGATACTCTACAATTTTGAGTTCGCACCCATGACCTTACCCATTACAAAATGATTGCACATTGAGGACACTTGATAATTACTGTGCTGTATCATGAATTGACTGAATTTAAAATGATATGACACTACTTTTGATATAATCTCATCATATCATTTAATTGATCATGCAGTCGAATTCTAAATTGTAATCACAAACTGACGATTGTAGTCAATGATGAAACTAATACATTTTAAGCTGAAATGCAAAATGAAGTCATCTAAGTTCTCAGAGAACCATTTTTTACAACTGATATAAGAATTCAAGTGGCAAATTAGATTTTTCCATTAATTCAACAATGTCATATTCTATAACAAATTCCAATTAAATTTCACATGTCTTTACGGTACTAGAGACATAACAGACAGAATGTTTAAGCAGTGAGAAGAAGACTGTCAAGTGTACGTAGACATAAAAGTAAAGTAAATGTACACACCAACATAATCCGAATGAGAAACAAGAGAAAGAAACATAAACCCTGATACTTGATGTCATGAAATATATTAAACGGTCGAAAAGAACGTCATTCTTCTCAGGATTATGTTATCTAATGACCATATAAGCAGTAAAGCATTGAATTGTAGGCATACAAGGCTACTTAAAGATGAAGTGTCGAGAATTTAATAATTTTGCTGGGCGAATTGAGGTAGAGAATGAGTAATCCTGGTAATCAGATCTAATTTAAAAGGTTTGCAAGTTATCCACAAACTCCACATCTACCAATCAATGACATTCGAACTGAGTTTTATCGAAATATATTTTGTGTTAAAATGTTTTTGTCTTTTAATGTCAGTTCATTGAAAGCTCTCTGTGCACAGACGCCATTCAACCACTTTATTTCCATCATTTTAGACTATCAAAAGATAGTATCATACAACTTACATCCGTCATAATCATATTAAATTGTAGCTTCATATTTCTGAAATATCCGATACAATAATAAATTAACAACACTATGCTTTCACTTTTCAGACGTTCATCAGTTAATATCAGTTTGTGGTTATAATTATTTCAGTCATCTGTTTCTTCTAAGATCCGATAACTTTCTACTTTCCCTACTTCTTGTGTCAGATCTTTAAATTTCTCCTAGAAAACAACAATTTCCTCGAATATGTAATAATTTTTAGCTTTTATTTAGATTTTACTGTATTCAACCTTCTGTTGAATACAACGTTAAACATCAGCTATTAATCACAACATCATGATGTGAGGTTAATGAAGAGTGAGAGAGTGAAAAAAAACTGTAGAGAAGAACTACTCTTTACCCAAAGTTTAATTTGTGACCAATGCGTAATTTAAAAAAAAAAATGAAATGAAATAATACCCAACAATCAAAAAAGACAACAACACAGATCCGAATCAAATTTCACGCAATTTACCGACTTTAGATGAATCACTTTGAAATAATAAGAATGAACGATAAAGATTAAGATAATCAAATCGTACAATTCGATCTATCATAAACGAATAGATGGAAAAATTTATATAAAGAAACTATGTTGATGAATGATAAATAAATCTTGGAGTATTTTAACCGATAGGAATAACGAATCATATAGTTAGATAAAAATGAGAATCTTGTTTATAAAATTGTCTAGGTTTCTATTCTATGATTTGAGTCTAATCAGCTTAAATGTATGGCTGATGCTACATCTGTTTTAAACAAATGATATTCTCGATAAGACTTAAATTAGACTGTTAACCAATATTGTAATCAAAGTCCTTCATTATTGAACTGTTAGTCAATCATCACAAGTTGGAAAACAGAAACGTTTTATACAAAGTATCCTTTAACAACTTGAGGTGAAGTTAAAAGTGTCCCGTAACATCTAAGCATTTAGTCTAAGAGATTCATTGGTTATTTGATCGATATGATATCATAAATACCAAAGAATAAAAATCATGATCTTGATTAGTAATCAGCCATTAATGAGTGTAAATTGTTTATTTAATGGAACAATTCATCTTTGTTGATTATATTTCAGGAGAACCTGATAATTGGTAGTTTTCTCATACAAGTAAATGCCCTGGTATGGCCAAGAGTGGGGTGGGCCCTCCCTTCCTCTCGAAATGCTCTCACACGGCCACGTGTATACAGCCTCTGACAGGGAAGTCCTACTTACTGCCTTCTCCCAGTGGGGGTGTCGTTTACGAAAATGAGAGGACGAAAAGCGAATGTCTGGCGCTTTAACCGGATCCCAAACCAATGGTGCACATGGGCTCCAGTATCCTGAAGGAACAAATGGCGTATGAACCAATTGTTGGTCACCGGCTACCATGGGACTGCATCTCCTTACGATGCTCCACTGCCTTGTGTATCAGACCTTCAGGTCAAAGGCTCGGGGTATGGCCCCCCGGGAAAACCACCTGCTTCAGTTTGGGCACCCGGGCAGTATCACAGCCCACACATACAAATATGGTGCGGCGCATATATAGTTGGTGCCCTCTTGTACCAATATTTATGTGTTCAAATAACTAAATAAATAAATTTGACCAAATTATTAAATGTTACACTTTGATAACCAACAAGTTAGTATTTTCCCTCGTGCTTACGTAAACATTTAACAGTTCGACTACTTTACTGTAGTTTTATTTTCTTACTGTTTGGTTTATTAATCAATAACCATTTTAGTCCTGACGTCATTATATAATCATTTTGCAATAGGATAGTAGATAAGATGTAATTTTTAATGTTTGATTATTCTATTGTTCTACAAGTACCAGAAAATAAATTATTTAACATTTTTGGTTGATAAATACAATTGTAAGTGTAAAGTGATCAGTGATTGGAACATAATATTGTTCATCATCAGAACTGATTTCTCTTACCATTCTCTAATGAAATAAACATTTATCGAATTAATCAAAGCTGGAAATATGAACCAGGTGAACTCACTTTTGGAAATGAAAGACCTGGTGGTGATGGGTGTGGACTTCTGAGGGGTCTGGTAATAGGACAAAACAGACGTCTAATTCATAATGCTTTTTCATGGTTGTTTAATTAAGATCAGTTTGTGTAGTAAAACTACACAATATGTTTCTTTGTTCAATGTATACATGGGTTCGTTATTCATATCAATACTTTAATGGTGAACACTTAATAATATTTACAATGTTGGATACTCCTTCCAAATGCCAACTGAAAATTATATCATGGATCGAACGTAGTTAGACAACCACTGAAAATTAAGAAGTACTGAATAGTTTTTTCTTCCTAGTGTAGAACTCGTCGGCGGTGGGGACCCACTTCTCCCATTAGAGACCGAATTCAAGATTATCAGATCTCGATGTGAACACTTATCTAGTAGACCATTGAACCAGCTTTCAATGGTGTACATTTACGACATACAATTAACTATCTTTCAATGTCATTGCTGCGAGACCTGATGATCATGTTTTGGGTTCTTAGTGGAGTCTTAGATATTAACAGCTAAAATGCTCCGTATTAAGGCGAAACAACTCCCCAGGGTTTACTGGTCATCAACTGTTATCTAAATAAGCTCTATCTATAAATAAACTACAAAATTCAACAACCTTCACAACTTCATGTGTCATAGTTACCAATTCTCAAAAACAACGAAACTAAATAAGGTAATTCATACAATGTACACGTTATTGAACTGGAAGCTTTTAAAATCAGTTTTGTATGAGATCACATCCCATAAGACGTTTCGATATATTTTCTTAAAACATTTTTCTTAGATACCAATAATTCAGGAATAACAAAGAATTCTATTCGATGTTTATTTCTTTTTTTTCTGTATTTACTTGTTTAATGTTTTCCAAAGATTGTAATTTCCATTCCACTTATGAATAAAATGACACTGATTTCACATAACGAGTGATGATTTCAGTCAATACAAAGTTTCATATATTTTAAAACAACGCTAAAAATATCAGACGGGGTTTTGTGTATATCATATGCTCAATAAAGACTAGCTTCAAGAGGTATTTCCAGGAGTTCTAGTGAAAAGCCGTGACCAGTGGAGATCCACCGGGTCGGTTGTGAGATAGTAACTCACTGAACACAATGGTGGATGTATCGCTCAATTTCGTGGATTGGTTGAAGTTAATCAGTAATGCCGTCGAAAGCCGGCTCAGTGGTCTAGAGGTTGAGCGTTCGCGCGTAAGACTGATTGGTCCTGGGCTCGAGTCCTGCGGTGGGATCGTGAATGCGCACTGCCAAGGAGTTCCATAATATGACGAAACAGCTGTCTAGTGCTTCCAGGTTTTCCATGGTGTTCTAGCTTCAGTTGACTTATGATCTCAACTATTAAAAAAATTAGATGATCTTAAGTTGATTACATAACTTATTGTTTATTTGAGTCCGTTGTAATCATGAAGATATGAATATTGAAATTGTATTTAAACTATAATATTTATAGTAAGTTTTAACAGTATTCCCAATCTTTCATTTGAAGAAAATATGATTACGATTGGAACTGAGAGCGAATATTCACTCCATTTTGAAAACTGAATATATCTTAATTCTAGTGTTTATGTCTTTAATGTAGTCTAAATAAAGTACTTATCTCATTGAATAACAATGAATTATTCATCTAATAGTTAAACAAAGATAACCGTTAAAGTGTTCCACAAGTATATTATCTATTGATTATTATTTATTGTTACTGGGATGCATGACGTGATCAATTACTATCATTACTAAACATCATATCTATTAAAAAGGTGAGAGACTATCAAAACCGTAAAAAAACTCTAGAATTTCAAACCAGAAACAATAGGACCGCGTTATATTGTACTGAAAGCTTTGTGTAAAATATTCAATATGATTACTGAGCCATGTGTATGCATACACTTACTTACTTACTTACTTACATCTAATTGAAAGAACTCATCTCTACCGATATCTTCCATTTACAATAACAAATCTTCATTATCATCTCATCATAAGTGAACTGTTATCAAATAAGTCAAATTTTTCACTGTCTGACAGACTAAAAACAAACAAACAAATTTGTTTTCATCAATAATCAATCAATCTAAATTTTACTGTATGAAATCATGAGTCAATTGAAGCTAGAACACCATGGAAAACCTGGAAGCACTGGACGGCCGTTTCGTCCTATTGTGGGACTCCTTAGCAGTACGTATCCACGATCTCGCACCCCGCGAGATCCGAACCCAGAACGTATCAGTCTCGCGCCAGGCGCTTAACCAACTAGACCACTGAGCCGGCTGACATCCAACGATGTTAATGTCTAACTTCAACCAATCCACGAAGTTGCGCCACCGTACACCATTGTCTTCAGTAAGTTACTATCTCACAACAGACCTGGTTGAACTCCACTGGTAACGGCTTCTCACTAGAACTCCAGGAGTATCTCTTGAAGTCAGTCACTAGTGAGCAGATGACTACTATCAGAAAGAGTTTTGTGGAGTTTTTAGAAATTTCGCTGATTGAAATCATGAGTCGATTGAAGCTAGAAAACTTAGAAGCATTGGACGGCCGTTTCGTCCTAGTATGGGACTCCTCAACGGCTGAAATTGACTCATGATTTCAAACAGTGAAATTACTAAAATCTCCACAAAACCCTTTCTGATAATAATCAACCAAAATGTTAAAAAAAATACGGTCAAAATAACTTTTCAAAGTTTACTTTATTCTTTTAAATGTAAATAAAATTTGACATAAAGAATAATCCATTATACAAAGATTGCGTAACCTTTATATAGATATAACTAAGCATTATACATAATGCAATTATGTAATAGGTCATTGTATCTCAGTCCAATTTTTTGTTCTTATTTTGTTTAATGAATTACAAATAATACAACAGGTTATGTGTAACCAGTTTAAGTAACAGTTTCAATGTGTTCAATAAGAGAAATTGTATATGTTGTTGTGATTTGAAATGTTTGCCAGTTTGTTTGACAGAAGCAAAATTATAATGTTTTGTTTTAATCAAACAAACAAAACTATATTAAATTTGTTTACAATGAAGTGAGGTCATTTTAAAAATTACCATAAGTGAATTGATTGGATGTGAAAGGATATTGTAATGAATCATCTTTGGAATGAAGAATTGAAGGGAAATTATTATTATTGTTCATATTATGAATAGAATCATTATTATTTATAAAAGAAATAGGTAAATTACTTATTGTATCACAATATCTAGAATGTTCTATTGGATTAGTACTTTTATAATTTGATAATGTATCATTCAATTTATAAGTTGGATAATAATTAGTAATCAATTTATTAGTAGTATATGATGGTTCATTCAATGATTTTATATGATTATGAATTAATGGTTCAGTTTGTTCATTTCCAATAAAATGATTAAGTGATGTTTGAATTTGTATATTATTTTCTGTTGGTTGAAAGCTAAAGTTTTATTTTCAAGAAAGAAAAAGAAAAGAACAAACAAAACAAACAATGAATATCTTGTAAATATCTGAATGAGAATGTATAAAGATTCAAGCTATAACATTATTGAAAACCTGAAAGTATTGCATGGTCGTTTTATTCCAGTATGGAACTTTTCAGCAATATACATCCATGATCTTGTAAGTGGAATGGACCGATTAAAGTTAAACATTAACACTGTTAGATGCCGACTCAGGTTAAGTGTTCATATGTGATACCTAAAGTTCTGGGTTCGAGTCTTGCATGTTTCAATATTTGATTATTCAGTGTTATTTTCGCTTTAATTCGTTTTTTTTTAATCATCATAATATTCAATGCCAGTTCATTAGTTTCATAAAGTTTGTGAAGTTTATCTTACGCGTGATTCACATTTACTTACCTACTTACTTACCTACGCATGTTACTCCTCGTGAAGGAGCATAGGCCGCTCACCAGCATTCTCCATCCAACCCTGTCCTGGGCAATTCTTTCCATTTCCTCCCAGTTGTAATTCATTCTTTTCATATCTGATTCTATTTCCTGACGTAATGTGTTCTTTGACCTTCCTCTTTTCCGCTTCCCTTAAGAATTCCAGGTTAGAGCTTGCCTCGTGATGCAGTTTGGTGATTTGCGTAATGTATGTCCTATCCATTTCCATCGTCTTATACTAATTTCCTCTTCAGCTGGAAACTGGTTTGTTCTCTACCACAGAAGGCTATTGCTGTTGGTATCCGGCCAATGGATGTTGAGTATCTTGCGTAGACAGTTATTAATAAATACTTGTACCTTCTTGATGGTGGTTGTTGTAGTTCTCCAAGTTTCAGCTCCATACAGTAGAACTCCCTTGACGTTCATATTGAAGATTCTGACTTTGATATTGGTTGAAAGTTGTTTTGAGTTCCATATGTTCTTCAATTGTAGGAATGCTGTCCTTGCTTTGCCAATCCTCGCCTTTACGTCTTCATCTGAACCTCCTTGTTCATCAATGATGCTTCCCAGGTAAATGAAGGATTCTACATCTTCCAGAGTTTCGCCATCAAGTGTGATTGGATTGCCGCTCTCCGTGTTGTATTTTAGGACCTTGGTTTTCCCCTTGTGTATGCTGAGGCCGTGATTCACAATTATATAACACATTTTCATTAAAGAATTCTTACTCACTTATGTTGAAGAATATCAAGGAAAAATGATTTTACTTATAAGTAAACGAAAGTCATATGTATCATAAGCTAATGTCAGCTAAATAATTTTACACAATCCATCTAACAAATACACACAAATATATAAGTTTCTTCGATATAACTTGAAATGTTGATGTATGGTTTTAAAGGTAACTTACTGAAGAACACAGTTCTGTTCAAGTAAATTAGGCATCTCAGTAAAAGTTATGAAGACGATGAGAGATGAACAACTTTCTACCATTTATCTTGATAAAAATATTATGTGGGTGCTGTTTATTTTTCAGTACACCTTAGTCGCTAATTCACTGTCTGAATAATTTCTGATGAATAGAGTTTAAAATAATCATCTGTGTACGTTGTTCTAGATATGGAAACATTATGACGTAACTAAGGAGCTTAACATTTGATAACTTCCAGGGATTCTTTAATTGATCGCAACAGGAATATGACTAGTTTAGTACTACCCACTTAAACAAAATAATATAAAACTATACAAATGACCATTATCAAATGTTGTTTTACATTTGTTTTATTACTTCAACAACACATGTAATAAAAATGGCGTCAAATTTCAACTAGGAGACATTCGAAATGTATTACCTTTTGTATCAGTCATATAAACAAATAATGGAAATTCGCATATTGTAAATTAGAATAACATATATAAGTAAAATAATGTGGCGGGAGGCGTCTGAGTGAAGACATACAAAAAGAAAATACTCATTTGATAATTATGTCCGGATGTTTTTAAATTTGATAAGTTACACATAACTTTGATACAATCACAACATAAAAAGTCACAATTTTAAGTGATAAGTTTATTATCAGAAGGGGTTTTGTGGATATTATAGTAATTTCAATGGTTAAGATCATGAGTCAGTTGAAGCTAGATCACCATGGAAAATCTGATGTCACTGGACGGCCGTTTCGTCCTACTGTGAGACTCCTCAGCAGTGTACATCTACGACCCCGCCCCTGCGGGATTCGAACCCAGGACCTACTGGTTCCACGCGCGGTCACTTAACCACTAGACCACCGATCCGACCGGCATCCAACTTCAACTAGTCCACGAAATTGAGCGACACATCCATCATTGTCATCAGTGAGTTACTGCCTCACAACTGACCTGTATGAGCTGTATGAGCTTAACATAGCAACCAACACTACAAACTGAATTACCTTCATCAAATAAATATTTATGTTAAACATTATACACTTACCCATTTAATAATTCTTCATTAGTTGGCATTAATTGATCATAAAATCTTAAATCTGTTTCATGAAATGTATATGGTAGTGTCATAGATGTTGTTTGTTCATAAAATGTTGGTAAATAATTATTATTATTATTATTATTTTGTTCAAATGTATTCACAACATCTATACAATCAAAGGGATAATTGATTGATTTACTAGGCAATGTAACATTAATTATATCTGGTGGAGATTTTTCTACTAAATTAGTATGATAACTATGTGTATTCTCATTATATGCAGTGATTGGTTTAGTTGTAACCGTAGCTTTATGATTAAATACATTACAGTTATTATTATTATTACGTGATATAGTAAATATAACAGAGATTAATACTGTACATATAATAAAAGTAATTAATATAATACAAACAATGATAAATTTATTTGTATCCATGTTAAAATATGTTAAGAATGTTGTAGATAATTGTTCATTAGATGAATCATATTGATTTATTGTACTCAAACGGAATATATTGGTTGGTTTATCAGAAATTTTTATATAAATTGTTGTTGTTGTTGTTTTAGGTATTAATCCCATATCTGTAGCCAATATAATCAGTGGTATAGTTCCCTAATAATAAGAATTAAAAACAAAATATAAAATGAGTTATTCACGTAAAAAGGCACATTGATGGAATGAAATCAAAATCGTCTACCTGAGCTATAAATCTTCACTACCATCTTAAAATGTACATTATACAATGTCAAAAGATATTTGAGAATATCTTGTATTTTTACTTATATCCTTCTATTGAAAAGAGCAAGAACAAATATTTTAGCAGAATAGCATGAATTCTTTTTTTTATTTCGTTGGTTCTCGTCACAGCGAAAGAATATTAGTCACCAAGGCAAGGAAAGATTCAGAACAATCTACTTTTTTGAACACATAAATCAGGTTTTTGGCATCTGATAGCAAATGCTTCAGCAAATTTCAGAAGACTGGAGTTTGGCTGCTTACTAATCACTTTGAATGATTGCACGGTATCAACCTGATGTCCTGTATCAAGGAGATGTCTGGTGATTGCACTATTTAGAGTTGTTCTTTCTCTTGTTCTGAAGTTTTTTGGAACATGTTCAAAAAATCTGAGATATGCCCTCATTTCTGTTCGACCATTGTAGCTGCTTTGGCAGGTACACGTGAATTTATAAATACAATTGGAGGTTACATGTAAAGGATGCTCATCAACTTTTGATTGAGTTATTGAACATGTTGTTTTATACAGAATTAGAGGTTTGGCCGCCGGATAAGTTCTAGCTAGCGCAGTATTCAGTCTCCTGTTGACTGTGTTTGCAACATCATCACCTTGGAAGTTGAGATTTATGAGATTTGGTGATTCGTCTTAAGTTTTTGAACGATGGTAGAAGTTTACAAGAACGCAAAGATCTTACAAACAGGCGCGGGAAACAGCCGGACGTGAGACATTCTCCATAAAACTTGACTCTTGTCACTTCTCTTGATATTCTACAGCGTACTGTCACGAAGTGGTTCACTGACCTAAATAATTGTTCAGGGAGACGTTTTTTGATAAATTTCATACACATGGTTCCCTTTATTTTTCTATTGTTATTTGAGATTGAATATCAACTCTAGGATAGAGGTATATTCAGTTGACGAGTCTCAAATAGGACGAAACACGCATCATGGATTTCACTGCTAGCCATTATTTATCTTTGTTTAAAAAGTGTAAGTGTTTTAGATAGCATTATTAACACACATATTCATGGTGGCATAAATGTTTTATGATCAAATCATCCAGTTTTGAGATGATTTCATTACACTAACAATTATCTGTATAATTCAAAACACGTCAGATATATCGTTGATCCTTATCATAGTCTTGACTTGACTTTTAAGATATTTCGTTAGCTATGGTACAAATGAGAAATTCATCGACTAACTACAGAATAAGTATACTGTATAACAGTATAAAATGATATATTCTATTATATGCAGGCGCTAATGATGTTATTTCAATGAACTTGATGAAAGCGTAATAACTGAAACACTTAGTTCAGAGAATGTAACATTACCAGATGGTAGCCACTAGAATGTAGTGTAAGAAACATCTGAAATGCTGTCAGAAAATCTTCTCTGATCTCAAACTACTCACAAAAAGTACTTTACACTTTACAAATATACTCCCATTATGTAAATTTCATTTGGCCACATTAAGTACAAACAACCTGAAAATACAACAACTAATTTATTACTGAGATACTTATATTAGAAAATGTCGAATAAATCCGACGACAATTGTTGTAGACTACATTTTTTCTTCCCAAAGTAATAAAATCAACATTTTCTGGAGGGCTCAGTTGGAAGTATGATTCTGTTTTAGATAACTGATATTGATAAGAATATCGACTACCCCATTCAAACTTAGCAACAATTACTAATGACTAATATGTGTTTGAATAACACTGAGAACCATTCCTTTAAAGATTCCAAACATAACTTTCCGACTGGCATAAAATCTATGTCTGATACTTCCTTCCAACAGCCTTCAACGACTTAATACCTTGCACGAGATGTTGAATTTTGACTGCAGTAGGATATGATCAATAAAACTAATAATAAGCACTAAAAATACACAACATTGATCAATCGGCTGAGGGATTCTATAGAAGGTAAGTCTTAATGAAAGATTCTTTGAATGTAATATAGGATGACGTAAGTTGTAATCTCATAGAAAGTATCAGTTTGCTCAAAATTACAGATACACCTTCATGACAAGTACCTACTAGGTAAGGTAAGGTTGTAGTGGCTGGTACTATGTCAAGTCCAAATAGGTTATTCTGGCTTCTGGATAAATAAATTTATTCGTTCACATTTTGATCTTTTTACTTATTCGTTTATTAACCCTGACGGTTTTTATATGATCGTATGTGAGTTAATTGCTTGCCTTATTCTTTACGTGTCTGTAACTTATTTTTGGTCTGACTATAAATGTCGAGTTGCGCTTGGTCGAGTCGAGTTGGCTCACTCGCCTTTGCCACTGCGCGTCGCTTTCCCAATTATATTAACCGCCTTGTTTCCTTTCACTTCGTTTTGTTTCTCTGATTGCCTGTCTAGATCAACGAATGTATGAAAAATACATATCGAAAATTCATTCTCGTATTTGGCTTATTTTATTCCGTTATTCTTTAAAGCAAATTAGGTCTATAAAAACATACAAGGGTTGGCAGCATTTATATTTCGGTAACAATTAGCACATGATCTAACTGGAGTGAGATATAGGGCCACCAAAAGGTTACTTGTCAATCGACTTATGCCATATAATGAAACATTTGTGAACTCTGAACTCAACAGAATACTATTCTGATTTATTACATTCTATATTAGTTTTTTTTAATTTCTTCGTAGATGTGAAATGTCTGCTCTTATGATTACAATGATTTTGTATGATAGAACATAAATACCCCTTCAGAATAGTTATGTTTTAACAGTCCTTCAAAAAATGAATATAACCTAGAAGCTTTTCATCATAAATATGTATGAAAAGAAACACTAAATTAACTATTACATTTGTATGCTTTGTCCTGTTTAGATAATGATTCCAGCCCATGTTTTAGTATTGAACAGTTAAATATAGTTTTTTATTACTGAAGATAAAATTGGAAATGTTAAAATAAAACTGCTCAAGACGTGACTTGGATAAATGATACCAAACTTTCAAGTTAATATAAAAGTTGTATAAATAAATATTTGCCATAATAAGCAAAGATGGATTTTGGCTAGCACTGGAATCGAGAACGGGCGTTTTATCCTACATGGGGCTCATCAGCTGGATTTACCTGCACCCCAGATTTGACGTTCACTTCGGGACTCGAACCCAGTACCGTTTACTTCAAACGCCATCGCATTATTTACTTACTTACTGAGTCCTGATAGCCACCAGCTTGTGCAATGGGGTGAAGTTATATTCACTTCGTGTTGCTTACTTGTATCTTCCCATTGTTATTTAATACTGCAATTGATCAGTCTCTTATGTGCCTCGATATTGCCATAAAACACAGGATACGCGTCCTAGATTCCACTACTAGCCACTATATATCTATGCTTATAAAGCTTGTGAATTAAGGCAAGATCGAGGCAGTCCTCACAGAATGCACATATGTCAAGAAGTGACTGATCAATTTCAGTCCTAAACAACAATGAGAAGATACAAGCAAACAACACCAAATGAGTCTGTCATAATACTTTTTATCTATCTATCGCAGACATGTATAATAAAGTGCGATGCGGAATGTTGAAGGAAGTACACAAGGACAATATGAGCTACACCTTTAAATAATATCTTTAGTGAAAATCACACTTCAATATGTATTACTTACCAACTAAATAAATAATGTAATAACTAAAAGTGTTTAATTACAATATACTTAATACACATCATGAATATTTACAATTCAGGGGGGGGGAACCAAATTCCAGCTAACTTACTATATCTTTAATGGATAATTCTTTTTGTAAAAATATTTCTCCAGTATTTTCTCTTATCATAAACATTGAATTGATAGATTGTTTATGATTGAATGAAAATGTAATTTTTCCATTTGCACCAATATCTTTATCGATTGCTTCAACTTTTTCTATTAAATGACCTGGGACATCATTATATGATATTTCCACCTAATTAATAAATAAATTTAATTCTCTTTTTAAAAGGATATTTTAATAACAGAAGGGGTTTCTGTGAATATTATGGTAATTTCAATAGTTGGGATCATGAGTCAATTGAAGCTAAACAACCGTGGAGAACCTGCAAGCACTGGACGGACGTTTCGTCCCAGTGTAGGACTCCTTAGCAGTGCTCATCCACGATCCCGTCTCGCGAGACTCGAACCCAGGACCTATTATAGACCTGTAGAGTTCAACCGAGTCTGTTGTGAGATTGTAACTCACTGAAGATAATGGTGAATATGTCACTCAAACTCGTGGATTGGTTGAAGCTAGACATTAACACTGTTGGATGCCGGCCTAGAGATTAAGCGCTCACGCGCGAGACCGATATGTCCTGGATCCGAGTCCCGCGAGGCGGCCGTCCTGTGCTTCCAGATTTCCCATGGTGGTCTAACTTCAATTGACTCATGATCTCAACCATTGAAATAAAGACATTTTAATACTAAAATCGGATTCATGAACTATTGTCTTTTAATCCTACTCAATAAAATTCATTGAGTTTAACATTAATTAATCAAATAAAATTTAGTTTCCAAATGGATGTTACCTATTTATCTTGTTATAAACCTGTTACTGTGGACACTTTAACTATTCCGTTCAACTTTTAAACTATTTTAAAATATCTAATTGACTCATTTCATATATAAATATGAAAATAAATTGAAATAGACAGTTTGTTAATTGTCAAAATTGATCATTATTGATCAGGAAGAGAAATGTAATCCATTTTTAATTGAAGAGATCAGGATAAATTTATACTAAAGGTGAAATTGACAATTATTTCGAAAAAAATAAATCAGTCAGTTTTGTTTCATATGGCTATTTTCTTAGATTCATCGATCGGAAACTGGAAATAATACACCAGGCTGATAGACCTTCCACAATAAAGATGAAGACTGTTCAGCAAGGTTAAAATTAAAAAGTAAATGGTACCAGCAATCTTAACAGGTGACTCCCAATATTTCTAAAAGTAATACCTATACACCTGAGCTCGGGATATTATTTCCAAATCGATCGGCGATTCTGACTATGTGTTGAAGATAGACTGTTACTTGGGTCGCCTGAAGGTCAATGCACTAGTTTACTTGACTTTGTATAGTAGGTTATATCAGCTATATAAGGCATGCTATTTCTAGGTAGTTCTTCAAATTTTACCCTGCCTGGTTACTCAGAAGTGAATATGTGAAAAACAACAGCTTATTTCTTGAACACATTCTAAACTTTAACCATATGATCTTATCAAAAATATTTTTTAGTCTTCTGTAAAGTTTGGCTAATCAGCTCACAAAACTATGTGTTTATCTAAAAACAATTATTCTTACCTCATTAGTCCCATTATCAAACGGTGGTCTTTGAAATATTGGTTCATTATCATTAATATCTAAGATGGTTATATGAACTTGTGCTGTAGCTGTAAGTTGCTTTTCCGGTGTTTGTGGATTGTCAGTAGCTAGAACTTGAAGTAAAAAGGCTGGATGTGTTTCTCGATCAATACTTTTTGTTGTTTTTACATAACCATCTTTTGTTACCTAAATGTATTAAAATGTAGAAAAGTTTTTTTGTTTACTTGAAAAATCCATCCTTAACAAGATAAATCCCACAAACAATAATGAGAAGACGAAAAATCATAACGATTAAACTACTTTAATATTTATCTTTTAGCTAATAGATACTGAACTTTATAGAGAGCAGTGGAACTATAAGTCAACATTTCCAGTCACATATGGGTTAGGTAGAAATGTTTTTACTCCAGAGTTTGGTGAATACTAGATGGTGGTCGGAGATAGTCAACAGGAAACCCTGGACCCGGGTTTCGTGCTACTTGATACTCGTCAGCAAGGTGTACCTGTAATCTCGAGCGAACTAGTGCTCCCTGATGGATTAGATCCCGTGTCACACAGTTTCACAGTCAGAGACGTTACCACTGAGCTATCCGGGCCACGACCGACTCCCTGTAGGACAGATGTATTTATAATTGATTGATCAATGTCGAGTCACCTAGACTAGTAGCTACATTGTAACTCAGTCGATAGGATTCGATCTGCACTAAGAAGGTGTTGGAATATTCAGGGAAATATCCCAAAAATTATCCTGTTAAGCCTAATGCTATCCATGGACATGAAATGGTATCATCTTATTGATCAATATTTATTTAACGTGTTATTTTCCTGTTGGCCATTATTGTACAAAGTTATTTTCTATTTTATGGTACGTTGTGATCTGCTTGACTGGTATATAAACAAAGTATGTTTGAAATATAATGATTCATATCTCCGAGGCTGTGACTTGCGTTCTGGACTCAACTGACTGGGTTAGACAGGGAAGCGAGACCAATCAGAACCCTAGGTCGTTCTACGTGTTTGCGCGTCTTTGGTCCGATCCATAATTCGCTAACCCTTAATCCGCAGCAAATATTTTTCACGTTATAACAGAAGGACCTGACATACATGACATTGATCACCACTCAATGATCCATCAATTGTGTTTGATGAATACTGTTGCTTAGTCAAAAGTATCTTATTGGCCAATGTGTTCTGCTATTCGACCAATCAGCTCAAATCATTTAATGGCAGTATAATTTCTCATTATTAAGAAATATATAAAGAGCAACATTTTACCTGAATATAAGTTGTTCGCAACCATTATAAAACACTGATGACCAAGTAGCTCGACATCATAATGGATTTTATTTAGTATTTGATAATTATGGGGAATCCACAAAAAGCTCTAAATCTCAAGGTGTGATAGAATTCAATAATCACTACAATCTAAACATAATCATGATTAGTGTCATGTTGTAATTTACATTCCTTAAAATTAGTCACCAATAGGCTTACTAGTAATTCAACTGTTTTATAAGGATAGACTTGATTATTAAGCAATCGATAAGTGGTTAACATTCCATGTACCTAAATTAATGGTTGCTCTGGTTGCCAGCCTCGTGACTTCCGAAGGAACTCAGCTTGCACCATGAGGCGTCATAACTCTTCTCACTGAAGACCTTCTAACTCCCAGGGCAGAGTTTAAATGGCTTGAATTATTTCTTCTGGTTAGCTTTTTTAGCGAATCAGTTTTCTGCGGGATGGGGTCGCCAACCCCTTGCCTAACCCTCCTTCTTTATCCGGGCTTGGGAACGGCAGTATCCCCCAGAGGGGCCCCACGTGGAAGTAAATAGGACACACATTGAGGAAAGCACACAGCTGCATCGCAATGCAAGCCCTCACATGGAATCCTCAAGGTTGATGGAGAAGCGGAAGACCAAATAATACATTACGCCGAGAAAAGGGAGACAGACATGAGAAGAATGAACAATAATTGGATAGAACTAGAAAGGAAGGCCCAGGACAGAGTGGGTTGGAGAATGGTGGTCGGCGGCCTATACTCCATTGGGGATAACAGGCGTAAGTAAGTAAAAGTATAAGTAAAGTGGTTAACATTATAATATTGATATATCCCAATGAGTAGAAAGTAGAATTTCTGATGTTTTGTGGCTTAATACGAGCCACTTATACAGAATGAAGAAATAAATAAATAACTGAATTATAATAATAAAAGTTTAAATAGTATCGAGGAACGAGGCAGAATATTTAGTTCAATCAAAACAGGTCCAATTATGTTGATGTTATATAAGTTTCATCAAGGTGATTCTGTGTGACACATTAGTATGTGCACTTGCACGTATGCTGGTGAGTGTGTGAAGTGTGACATTTATGACGTGAGTAAGTATATTCCTGCGTATATTTATCAAACATGTAAAAAATGAATAGAATTAAATAAAGCTGTTTGTACCAACTGTCCAAGTTAAATGAATAGTCAGGCTTTCCTTAGTATTGACGATAAAAAGATTTACCATTATATGAAACATATCAGTTATTCACCTTTATTGACGATTTGAAAAACCTTTATAATCCTGATATTTTCAGTATAGATATGATAGTTTTAAGAAATATCTTGTACTACAACTTTCGTTTCGATTTATGAATTTTCCAGTTCTAGCAGTTCTAGGTCATTTTATTTAACTTAAGATGTTGGATATCAATAATCTATAAAATGTGTAACATGTTTCAAAGATCTAATTCGTCGGGAAGATTGACTTTGCAGTTGTGAACCGAAAATAATCCCAAATGGACTAGAAAATTGACTTGCTTTTTTTTAAGAAAAACAGTGAACAGAACACCAGTGAGGACAATTCAATGTATTTGACACGAAATTACAAATCATCTCGATAAAATCTGAGAATCATATAGTAAATCGTTAATTTGCAAAATATCAATCCATCATATCAAACTTGACTGTTCCTGTTGCAAACATCAATCCATTGTCTCAGATTTCATTGTTCATGCGTTTTCATACCAATTGTGTTCCGTTCCTGTTCTTTCCTCATCGACCTTCTACTGAAATACATTCTATGCCTGACCACCGTTATGTACTACTTGTGTAGATATAAGTAACCCACACCACAACTAATTTCTACGAATTCCTACATAGAACAACTTTCAAGTTTCTACATTTTTTTCCTTAATAAATTATAACAAAAAATTTACTATATACTTTCATCACTTGTATTCATGATATATCTACTTCATAAATATTTTAGACAAGAACCGTTTTCTCAAAGAAAATTATGATCAAAATGTATGTTAACTAGAGTTTATACGCAAATATCAACCTACTCTGAGAGAGAGAGAGTGGGGGGATGAATATCTCTACGAATGAATATGCTACTAATAGACTTCATTAGCTGAATAATATGTTGTTTGCCAGTTTTAATTACATTAATCTTTAACGTGTTGTTGAACCAGCACGCACACTTACACACATCCATTTTATAAATTATGTGATATAAAAATCTTTTTTAAAGCAATTAATCCCTTTTATAAATTTCAATAGAGCAATGGGAATTTTCTTTAAATTTCCTATTCCAGTTAATCAATGTCAAGTAAATCTAAGTGATTAGAACTCTGTCTATGACTTGTAGGAGTTCCGTCTCAGCCAGAATAGGTTAGTGATAAGTTCACACAGTGACACAGGTTCGAGTCCCAGAGAGATTATTTGTGTCCTCAGGTTTATGGGTACACGTTGTTGATACGTATTAAACACAACAAGAACTAGTTTCAAGATGTCGTGTTGACCACTTACGATCACCTAACATCTCAGGATTAGCCTCTTCAAGAATAATTTGACAAAGGACAATGAAAGTTGATTACATCTTTTATTCTGTAACATGTAGTAAATTAAACATAGATCTAGAATTGACATCCGCGATTCCAAAACTTAGTTTTATCCCCAAAACCAGTGTGTCTTGTAGTGTCAGTCATTATTTTAAGCCCATATACCTTATTCTCGTTTTTGGACGAACCATTCTATTCATTCTACTTGAGTAATATCTTGACCTTGTCAATTATTCGCTTGTCAGTATTGACTGTTTTTATGTGAGCGTATATATGTGTGCTCTTCTTATTCCATTAATCACATGTCTGTAGCTTTATTTTGTCTGACTATAAATATTGAGTAACGCTTGACTAAAATGGAGTTGGCTTCCCAGCCATCTTCCATACGTGTCATTTTTGCTTTGCTATGCTTCATTCGCTTCATGTACGAAATATATGTATTCTCAAGTCAATTCTCGTTATTTGACTTATTTAATTCCGTTATTGGATAACGCGATATAAGTCGACGATGATATACGAGAAAAGGTGATAGCAAACATCCATACAATCTAAACAGGAGTCAGATACTCGGGCCACAAAAGTATTTATATTAGGATAATATTGGATAAACAATGAAAATTAGAGAGTACTTAATTGTCATTTCTTCCTATCAGTGCGTGTACCCACAAATATATAAGGGATCAAACGTAGATTCCTAAATTCTCAAGGTAAACACGTTACATTTAGAACACTCCGTTGAAATTAGACGGTCAAGACCATCAAGCTATATAAAGGAACAGTTAACCTATCTTATTTTTTATATCTGTTTCATCTTGAAAAAGGCTAAACTCCAGTAGTCACGAATTCTTAACGCCTCGAAAACTATCTAATTTAATTATATTCTAACGTACATGACAACTAATTTTCAGGTTAAAAATTTAACAGATAGGTATATTATACAAGATTGTATTACACTGATGATGATCTAGTCAGAAAATAAATTCTTCACACTGAACCAACTGTTTGTAATGTGTATACAATATGATAAATGCTTTATATGTATATTTACATTCTATTTTCATGTATTCCCGTGAAACACGTTCATATCTGTCCATAATCGTTTTCGATCATCAAGCATTACGAAAAGTAAATTTGAAGTGATTTTATATTCTATTACGTGTCAACAATATATACCATCATAAAGTATTCCATCATTTCACATGACAGGTGAGGTCATCCGTCATGTTTTCAAAATTAAAATGATACACAGTATTTCCTGATATATTCCATTTTATTAAGTTTATGGTTACTAGTTATCAAAATATAATCGTCATCAGAGATTTCATTTTATCCTGTATGTTGTTGTGCTGTACACTAACATATTCATAGAACATGATAGCTGACAACGGTAGACGTTTCATATGAAATGAAAAGGGAAAAAATACCTTGATAGTATTAGATAAAACATTCTACTTGAACATTGAGAACGTAATAGATAACCAAGGAATTAATGAGTTAATTAGTGTTATTCAAATGAAATAAAATGGAATAATATAAGTTTTACCAACTTGAAATGGATGATCCATTTTATAATCTATAGTAGTATCAAGTGAATAGATTAATTGAGCATTCAAACCAATATCACAATCAGTTGCTTTCACTTGACCAATTACATATGATTCTATTGTATAATTCATTTCTAATTCTTCATCTAATGAAAAATGATAATTGACTTGTGTAAATATTGGATGACAATCATTAATATCAATTAAAGCAATTTCTACATGTGTTGATCCAGATAATCGTGGTTCACCATTATCATATGCATTTACCTATAGATTAAATGAAGAAATTTGAAAGAAAAAGTTAATCATTCACTGATTACATAATAAACTGTTAATCAGTCAAGAGGAATTTTTTTCTTTGAGCTGGATAGTTTAGTCGTGGAGCTTTCATTGTTATTTTGAACAACATCATCAGTACAAACTTCAGGTAGAAGTGAAGTATTCGAATTTCTCCACAGCTTATCCTGTAGACCAAAATCATCCATCTGAGCTACAAATGTTCTCCACCATCTCAGAAAATTTTATGGCGGTTTCATTCTAGATAAAACTCATTCATAGTGTATGCTAATGAGTAAGCATATTATAATGTACATGATGGTATTCAACATATGAAATGAACTGACCGAATTTCAAGTTTTTGGATTTCATTTAATGATCCAGTTGAATAGTATTCTAATATCCAATGTTAAGATCGGAAATGAAATCTGTGGAAATAATCTTAATGACACAATCTGAAATCTTCAGTCATCATGTATTATATACAGTTAAATATACTTTTTAAAGTTTACTCTCATTGCTTGGATTATATTATGTTAAATCAAACAATTTTATTCCAAATATTTTTTGGCTAACGTGTTTGAAAACAGCCGGTAGATTTCAAAACACATGGCTGAATTCTTGGTGTTTTTAACGTGTATCTTCCCATTGTTATTTAGGACTGCAATAAATCAGTCTCTTATTGGTATATACTGATAATTACCATTTGCTCACTAGTGACTAGCTTCGTGAAAAAGTTCTCAGAGTTCTGGTGAGAAGCCGTGATCAGTGTGGCTAATCCGTGTCGGGTAGAAACAGATGTCTACCTCAGTACAATGGAAGGCGGTTGCGCAACTTCGTGGATTGGTTGAGGTTATACATTAACACCATTTGATGCCGGCTCAGTGGTCCAGTAGGATAAGCGTCCGCAAGCGAGACTGGAGGCCCTGGGTTCGAATCCCGCGGCAGGATCGTGGATGCGCACTGCTGGGGAGTCCCACGATAGGTTCATGACCTCAATCAAAACTTAACAATCTCCACAACCCCTAAACTAATACTTTCAAATAACACTATTATTATTGATGATGATGATAATGTGGAGTTACTGGAGTGGAAGTAGTTGGAAATTAGGTGAGTTGTGTTAAAATTAGACATGGATTTCATCAACATTAGGGTGTAAGCATACTTAGTTGGTGAGTTCTATATAGGATGAAACATGTATCCTTGATTATTATTAGCAACGAACTTTTGTTGAGATTGCTTAGTTCATAGTTAATGGTTATGAAATGACTCAGGCTAAATCATCATTGAAAACCAGTATGAAAGTGCATGGCTGTATTCTTTCATGACGCCATTATATATCAAACCCAAGACTTTTATGCTTCTATAGAGGTATTTGAACAAACTGAAATCAAGTATACAAATGAATTAGGACTATACGTATTATTACTGTTTATTTTTGAAGTGTTTCTTTGATATTTCAGATGTTTCAGAGAATAAACAATCAGATGACTACTAAATGTCAATTTATTAATGACGAACTGTTTTTCTTTGTGTAGATTTATGTGATATTAAGTATATAAATTTCAACAGAGTAATAGAAATTCGAAGATGAACTACAAATCGTTATGACATGTATTTCATATATTACATGTTTTGATTAGTGTGATGACATAGATTCTCACTTGTCAACGAGTTTTATACAGAAACTAAAAATATACCAGTGAATAATCCCAAACCATTGAAAATCTAGGAAATAAAGAAAAATTTACAAATTTCCACAGTATCTCTGACAGTGAATATGCATTAAAAGTTACTAGGACAGGTTTAGGATTAAAACAGTTTATTTGAAACTTACATAGGGGTTTGTAGATATTATAGAATTCTCATCGTTAGCATCATGAACTGATTACTGAAAACAAGGAAGCAATAGACAGCCGTTTCCTTCTAGCATAAGACTATTGAGTAACTTTGAGAGATGACGCTAGAAGAAGCTGTGACCAGTGAAGTTCAGTCACATCGGTTATGTAACAACTACCCATTACAAAAACGGTTCATCGTGCAACTTAGCGAATCGATTGTGGTTAGACATGTACACTACTAGATTTCAGCTCATCGGTATAAACATTAAGTCTTCTCAATAAGACCTAGAGGCTCTGGGTTGTAACTCAATATTGACTGTAACTCAATAAACATTAAAAAACCAGTAAACACTAGGTAATTGCTTCATTCTAGTATAAAATCATCCGAAGTGAGTATACAAAATCCTATGAGAGATTAAACCTTTCAATCCTCCCTGTAAGTATTTAACATTCAAACTAAATAGCTAATATCCAGTGGTTTCCATTTTTAATTTTCATTAAACAGTTATTAAAAATTTAGTAGATGAATTTATGAGTCAATTGAAGCTAGACTATGATTGAAAACCTGGAAGCCTTAAACGGTTGTTTCGTCCTAGTATGGGACTATTCATCAGTAGGCATTTGCAATAGTAAAACGTTGATCTATTCATCTAGTCACAATACAAATAATTGTTTAAATTAAATCATGTTGTTTAATGTTTTAGTAACCATCAACACAAAATGTTTAACGTAGCAAAAATACACTTAAACAACAACAACAAAAGAACATAAACAATCATTCTATGTCTCAATTTCAATTCCTACAGTTAATGTACAATCACAAACATTTAAGCAGTACAAAAGAGAATTTGATAAAGTACATGGGGATATTTCCTTTCTAAAATCCTATACATATCTCAATCTAAATAGAGCAGATTGATATATCATGTTTGCTTGTTTGTTTGTTTGTTTTAATTCACTAATTTAGCATTGATCACAATCGGTAGGATTAAAAAACAAGACATCCTTAAATGGTAAAGAATTCTAAATACATTTAAAAGAGAAGAAAAAACATTACCCTCATCCATTAGGTATAATGAATAAAATGAATGTTACATAGTACAAGTAAAGTATTGAATGTTTCGATCGAAAACAATTAATGACACTAAATTGTTAACATCACCTCGAAGAACGAATAATAAAATGCTTAGTTTAATTAATCAGTAATGAACAAAATAATTATGGTGACAGTCAAGGTTTATAGATTTTCACTTATAACATGATAAAACATACGGAAGTAATAATAATAATAATACTAACAGTATTGTGGTGTCGGCTGCTTATATCGACATGAGTAGTATATAATGATAGTCAGGAATAGAATGTCTGGCAGCAGAAAGTCTTAAAGGAAAGAACGGGAACAAAAAGTAATTGATGTGAAAATGCAAGAACCATGAAGTCTAAGACGACTGATTGATATTTGAAAAGGGAACAGTCAAGATTGAGACAATTGACTGATATTTTGCAAATGAAGTATTCACTGTATGGTTCTCAGATTTTACTAAGATGTTCTGTAAGTTTGTTATCAAGTATGTTTGGTTGTTTCCACTTGTTCTCTTTCACTACACTACTACTACTACTACTACCAGTATTACTAATAATAATAATGGTAATATTTTGGGTTGGTCTTTGACATTGTCATAAAACCTTACCTGATTAAGGTTTCTTGTTGATGAATAACCTATTTCAAGATTACTTTTTGTATAAGTCTTTTAATCAGATTAAATAAAAAGCTACTCAGTTGTGTTACCCAATAACAATTAGTATATAGTACGCAAGATTATATTGGCCAACTACTGAAATCAATTACAAAATGTTTTTGTTATTTCCTAGTGAAGATTGAATTACGAGTAACTTCCAAGATCTATTAATGGACTAATATTATGTATAAATATATACATATATAGCTAGTGTATAACTATTCAGTAACTAGATTATGTATATCTATATTCCTCTTACTATAAGCGTCATTTTGACCTATAGATCATTATTATATGATTTACTGTTCCTAAATTATCTTCAGTTTATTAATTACAGTCTCCCATATTCATAGCCACTTTTTTGGCTTGATCTTGCATAAATGTTGTTTCCTATTTTATGGTGTGATGAGGTCTGTTTGACTGGTATATAAACCAGGTATGTTTGAAATAAATGATTCGCATATTGGAAGTCGGTATTGGCGTTCTGCACTCAACTGGCAGGTCTAGGAGGCAGAATGACCAATAAAGATGCTAGGCTGATCATACCGGTCGAACGTCATTGGTTTGGCACAGTGCTAAGATTGAATAGGTCATATTTCGATTAGCGAACAAACCACGTGATAACTAGCCAGACCTAAAGACACAACAGTTTTGTTTTACAGATAGAAAATATAATCAGTTATAGTTCTACTTTGGTGTTCCTATCATGAAGGGATATCATGCTACGTAAATCTATTCATTATCGATGTGTTTCAGACTCATATTTTGCGTCATAAAAATGTCATTCCTAATCTTAATTGATTTCTGTATAAAAACAAACACATTTTATGAGACCTAGTATTCTGTCGTCAATTTGGCTAAGAAAATACCCATAAGTAGAAACCGTACAAGCTGAAAAAAAGATTAAAAACATGCACCCCATTATATAATTTAGATGAACATTTCAATACTCTATAAACTAGTATCCCGTTTTCATCATCCATGGAACTTTTAGCATCGCATATCATGATAATTGATGCTTTTACAGCTGCAATATCCATAAGCTAAATTAAATCGACCTGAGTCTTTTACTAGATCATCCTAACACTATTTCGTGCTCTAATTGTAGCCTCTACCTTGATATGGTGTCTCGGCTTACCTGTGGTAATGAACTACGTGAGCTACATTGGCTGTATTGTTCTTTTTGTTCCTATCATATCAGAAAGGTCGGTTTGAGAACGTTGGGATCAAGCAACAACTTAAATTCTGACAACTAAGTTGTACCACTGGCTTTACAGAAGTGTGAAAGTATTGAAAAGTTCCTCTGAGATAACCATCATCTTCATTGATACTACCTTCCTACTGAGGAAGCTCGAGGTTAAACAAGACCGGCATACCTCAAGTTACCCAAGAGGTTTAGGTCGTCGGTAGTAACATCTTTAAAACGCAGAGCTAGCACATCGAGGACTATGGGATTAAGGTTGTGTGTTTCTGACTGAAGGTGAATTTCCCTTAGACTCTTTAAACACACTCCTAGGTCAACAAGATCGCTACTAATCTAGTTTCCTCTACAAGAATGTTAAGAAAAAACATTCTTCCATGGTTTGGCCAACTATGAAGTGAAACTGTTCACATTCCTAGGATTGCACTCAAAATCTCTTCAATCATACACTTTTTTTTCGAAATGTCTTTGAAGATCTGAGTACAGTCTCAAGTGAGATCGTAGGTTGCCCACAACTGATCATTTCTAAGCTATAACAGAAGAATCAGGCAGTACTCTACGATGGAGGAAACTATGACCGGGAGTTTGACAGGAAATTTTTAGAAATTAATTAATCGAGGAAATCCAAGTAATGTCACGGAGTCTGCAATTAATAGACGCATAGACTATTTACCAATTTATGGGATGAAGGCCAACTGATAACATGATCAAAGATCAGCAAAAAAAGACAGTCAATAGTCGGCGGCCTATGCTGAAGCTAAACCATCATGAATAACCTGGAAACACTGGACGACCATCTATGTTTTTTGATGGAGTTTTGTTCTCTGACCAAACCATCCAGCTCGGAGATCAAAACTACATCAAAATCATCCACCTGAGCTACTAATCTTCTCCACCATCTCAAGACCATCTATGTATTCACTTTTTTTTTCTCCATACATTAATTTAAACAAAAAAGACGAATCAAAGCTAATCATCATTTCCTATTTTACGATTCTTGTTTTCATCTAATTATTCTTTTAACTATCTTGATCATTCAGAGAACAGATTTAAACTAATAAAAAACATTAATGATAAAATAGTCATTTGAATGAATGGATGATTGAACGAATGAATTCAACAAATAAGTAAGTAGATAATAAAATAACAACAACAATCCATTGAAAACATTGAAAAAGTAGATCAAAATCAAAATCAAATGTAATGGAATGTTTCTTTTTGTATTGACCAACAAGTATATATAATAACAATCATAATATAACTCTCTCTATATATATACATATATAGACATCATTGAGATGGTGAAGAAGATTTGTAACTTAGATGAATGAGCTCAAAGAACATAACTTCATTAATACATCATTTTTGGTCGAATAACAAAAATACCCCCCCCCAAAATTGTTATCATCAATAAAGAAGTTTGTTATTGATTTAAATTGATTTTTTAATCATTTCAGATTGGTTTTGTGTTTTTTTTATAACGTTCAGTTTGTAATGGTACCCTCTTTTATTTTCTAGTAATGAATGAACAATTGATTGTTGAATGTTTATGTTTATGCGGAAATTTAATTTGAAAATTGTAAGTGGAATAAAAAAATAAAAAACAATTTCCTGAATTAATTAGTTCAATATTAGAGATTTTATTTTTATCTGGGAGTATTTCATTAGGGCTTACTTCATGTAAGTAGTTGTTGTGTATTTATGTTACCATTGTTAAATTACTTACTTACGCCTGTTACTCCCAATGGAGCATAGGCCGCCGACTAGCATTCTTTAACACACTCTATCCTGGGCCTTCCTTTCCACTTCTATACAATTGTTGTTCATTCTTCTCATATCTGTCTCTGTTCATCGGCGTAGTGTGTTCTTTGGCTTTCAGGATTCCATGTGAGAATTTGCCTTGTGATGCAGTTGGGTGCTTTCCACAATGCGTGTCCTATCCACTTCCATCGCTTCTTCCTCATTTCTTCTTCCGTTGGGATCTGGTTTGTTCTCTCCCACAATAGGTTGTTACTGATAGTGTCTGACCAATGGATCAGAATTATTTTGCGTAGACAGATATTAATAAACACTTGTTCTAATGACTGTATCTATGATTGTCTGTCTCACTAAGTTTTGTTACCGACATATACTCTTCTATGCCCTTCCACTATCTTGTTAACTTGTCTTTTGATAAACTAACTTATCCGAATGCTGTGCGTCCGGCAATTTTTTGGGATTCTTAAAATTCCATTAATCCAGAATTTTAAATTCATTTCTGAATAGTTCTACATCAAGTATGGATCGGTGATGTATTCCGGAATGATAATGAAAACTCAGTAATATCATTCAGCTTGGAAAACAGAACATCACAATAATTCACGAAATACTATTCACTAAAATCTAACACTGGCTAGTCTACAATTTCTTTCACATCCCTAGTAGGTTACAGATCGCTTGAAAGTTGCACGATAAATTAGGTGTTAATCCAGGCAAAGTTTTATGTATAAGGTTATACGTTAGATGTCTACCTCAAGGTCGATTTGTGTTATATCTCGATGAAAATAATGAATGGTAACTGTTGGAATCTATTTCTGGTCCATTACTACATATATATTTTTATTGTGCGTTTGTAAAGTAACCAAACTATACATATTCGTGTTCCTCTTATCATAAGCTTTATTTTGACTTATAAATTATTATTATATGATTTACCATTCTTGAGTTATACCCAGTCCATCAATTACTATCTCCCACATTCTCAACCACTTTTGGCTAAATCTTGTGCGAATGTTGTTTCTTATTCTATGGTACGATGTGGTGTATTTGGTTTGTATATAAACCCAGTATGTTTGAAATAAATGATTCATATCGTAAAGGCTGATATTGGTATTCTGGAATTAATAGGCAGGGCTAGGCAGGAAGCAGGACCGGTAAGGAACCAAGACTGCTCGTACGGATTTTATGCGTCATCAGTTTGGTTGATAAATCACTGTTCTCTAATTGGTGGTATAATTACGTTATATATAATAGGATACAAGGCCACAAGTTATAACAATTTGTCTACCTGTATATGCACATAAGTGGCATATACAAGTTTATTCAGCGTCTGAAAATGCAACTCTCACTGTTGCCTCATTTATATGTTGTTTCTACTTTGATCAGGAGTGTGTATTAACAGATGATTCAAATCAAAGATCAAATCAACTTCATTCTTGATATACAAAATTATCCAGAAATTTAATTAATTTTGAGTATTACTATATAACTTGTTATAATTGTCATGAATCACTCACAATAAAATGATAACCTTCGGGTTGATTTTCTCTATCCAGTGGCATACGAGTTATCAGTTCACCTTTTTCATTAACTTCAAAAGGATTCGGTCCTTGACCTGGAGGCCAGTGAATAGAATAATTCAGTTCACCATTTAATCCAAGATCAGGATCCAGTGCTGTAACTTCTCCAATTAATAATCCAATATCATTGGTTTCAGATACCTAATTTTTAAAATAAATGAATTTGTAATACAAACAATTAAATTATGTCTTGTTTGAAAAGAACAAATAACTGCCGTATATTACAAGAACCGAAATTCAACATTTCTGTGTCATCTGAATAAATGGTCCTGGTGTTGTAATTAATTCAGTCCTACTTGTTTACCAATAGACGACTATTAGTCATATAGAGTTTAATCTGCATTCAGTTTAGACATGAACACTTGCTAACAATAATCATGTCCGTTGAACAGATGAGTGGATGTGTGAATTCAATAGCTTAATAGATAAGACATTTACGTTTGAATTAATAAGTAGTGGATATGAGTCTTAGTAAAAGCATCGGGATTTAGATTCAGGCAAACGTAGGCGAAAAGTTCATACTTCGAAATATGTTTACCCGGGAATCCACTACTAGTTACAAATCTAACATGAAGATAATATTGAAATATCCGCTCAAGATGAACACATGCCATACCCTAATCAAAATTTTAGTTCAGCTTATAAACTACAGTAAAAAAAATGATACTGATGTTTACTTGTAAGGGTTGTTTAAATCTTATCATTGTTGATGCTAAGGAATGTCTCTTTCAGCACACGTTCATTCTTCGAGGATTGGCTTAATATCCCAATTAAGTCACAAGAATTTTAAGCAGAGCTGGATAGCGGAAGGCAGTGAAATGTTCTGTTCTATTTAGGACTGTGTTCTTCCTAATACTTAGTAAAGGCCTAAGAGTTGCATTCCAAATAAAATCTCATTCATCGTTAACGTTGTAATATAAACTGTACTCTTGGTTTTAAATAGGATTTACTATCATTGATAGCATCTATCGAAAAAAATGAATAACAGTTCATTTAAGAAAACGTTTCATCAACCATTATGTGTTGCTACTGAAACTGAATTGTATGATATACATAAGATAAACGTTGGTCAAAATTACTTTTATATAAGAACTGATTATAATCAGATAATTAGTGATAGCCAGATAGAACTAGACAATTATTTCGTCACAATATGTAATTCTTCAGCATTTGGAAATTCCCTTTTTTTCTGTTAGCATATGAATTATTAACGTTAAAATGCTTTTATGTAATGGATATCCGGTCTATTCTAGTTTTCATTGGTTGATTCATATTTGAAATATCCTAAATCGTTCGTAAATAGAATTTACCTCAGACCAACTGGAAACCTCAATACTTTATTCATTCTTACGAAGATATAACAAGTAATATGTAGTGTGCTACTGATGTAGACAGATATAAGTAGTATCTATCATCAATCGAAAGTGAAATATCTGATGGCAGTAGGTGAAGAAGATCAAAGAAATGAGAACAAGAGCATAGAATGATTGATTTGGAAACGAAAGAACAATGAAGTCTAAGACGATTGATTGACATTTACAAAAGGAATAGTCAAGTTTGAGACAATTGATTGACATTTTACATATGAACTATTTACTGTATAGTTCTCAGATTTTACTAAGATATTCTGTAATTTTAAGTTGTAATGCATTTGATTGTCCTCACTTATGTTCTCGTTCACTATAGATCAAGTGTTATCATTTTGTTATTCTATGGCTTAAATCTTGATAACAATCATTATACATATTGATAATGTTTATGTTACTTATTTAAATCCATCTTTGCTTATAATGATTGTGAATTAAAGACTATATCGAAGCAATACACATAGTATGCATATATGCCAATAAAATACTGATTAATTGCAGTCTTAAACATCAATGAAAAGATTCAAACAAACAATATCAATTAAATTTAAAACTTCATTCCATTTTACAAACAAGTGGCTATTACAATTCAGTAACTAAATGGGTAACGCAATGGCATTTGAAACGAACGGTACTGAGTTCCAGTCCAAGAGTGAACATCAACTCTGAGATGCACGTACATCCATCCGACGAGTCCTAAATAGGACAAAATGCGCGTCCTAAATTTCACTGCTAGACACCATCATCTCCGCCTATAATTCTTGTAACTTACAGTAATAGGATACACATACGCCAATAAGTGGTTCATCAATGACAGTGTCAAACATCAATGAAAAGATTCAAACAACCAATACCAAATGAATTCATTTCTATGATTGTTTTAATTTCCTTTTGATTAGATCAATAATGCTTTTTTTTTCTTTGATACCTAATTAATAGCATGTTTATTTAGTTTGTCGGAAAATTTTATGATTGAAAAACAATTTTTCAATTCAATCCATTTGTTTCTTTGATAAATTTTCTTTTAAATTCTATATTAACATAGTTAATTATTAATTAAGATGAACACTTTGAAAAACCAAAAAAAATCAAAAAAAGAAAACCAAAAAAAGCAAAAAAACAAAAAAAACCGAAAAAACGGGACCGTATCTTCAAAATGATTCTTTGAGATTGCCGTAGCAACCAAAAAGAAGTCAATTAAGATAAATATGACCAGATACCTGGAAGTATTTAAGTTTTAAAAAACAAAAAAACTTAGTTAGTTAAACGAAGAAAAAAAACATGAAACAGATTTAAATGATTGTTTATATGACCTTGATTTTAATTAGATTTTAGCGGTATTTTATTTACAATTAGATATTGAATGCCTAGATACTACGTTTTAATTGGACATGTTGTTATGTAACATTAAACATTATTTCGTTATTTTAGGTAAATCAACCATTCACAACTCAATGTTATTGAATAAATGATAAAGGATAAAATGAAATGATTTAGTTGAGTAAGTTGTTAAGATTAGTTTAAGATAAGGATAGTTTTTATCTCAAATTAAAAACAATTGTATTGTAGTGAACGAGAACACCAGTGGGGACAATCGAATGTATTTAACACAAAATTACAGGACTTGTTAATAAAATTTAACAATTAAATAGTGAATATGTAATTTGTAAATTGTCCATCGATTGTCTCATAATAACTCAGACTTCATTGTTCTTGCATTTTCATACAAATTGGATTCTGTTTCCATTCTTTACTATTTGATCCTCTTATATCTCTGCTGTCAGACCTTCTGTTCACGACTAACATCATCTACTACTTATGTCAATATAAGTAGCACACATCACAGTATAAGCATTGAAAAATAGGTATCAATAAGTAGATAGTTCATAAGCGATTCCTTAGATGTGTTCGTAAATCAACGTGTTAAGGATAAAATACAAAATATACAGTCATCTTTGACAGTTCACAAACATTAGATCTTTGTATAGTTGTCCAGTGGATAACTTGTTGAAATTCTAGTTAAAATCTATATCTGTTGGATTTCATTTATTTAAGTAGTAAATATCAACATTGACAACTGATAATAGTTACATCCTATTTTGAACTAACTGTAATTAAACGTGTGAACTATGTAATATTCTCCTCAATGGCATCCATTTATTCATCCTTTGACTTGTATATTCTGAGTTCGATGTTTATCCACGTTGTATGTACACATTACCTAAGTGTACTATTAATGGTTGTTTTTTTAAATCAATAATCATTCAACAGTATATCATTTTTAATATTTCACCAACTAACAACAGATCACTTTTAATACAACAGATTATTGCAAATGTATTCTGTAAGCTAAACACCTATAGCCCAACAGATTATAAAGTTTTGCAAAAGCAAATATTATTATTATAAATGAAGAAAATGTTTCGTCTCCTAATTAATACATTTACCGACTTAACAATAGATCATTATTTCGATAGGTAACTTTTAAGATGGATACTAGTGTTCTGATTATAATTATTATTATTATGAGAATTGACGTAAATCAATAAAATAATGTGTTTGCTTTTCTAAAACAATATTTAGGATTGAAATTGATCAGTCTCTTATTGGCATATGTGCATCCTGTGACTCGATATTGCCGTAAGTTACAAGTATTATATGCGGAGATGATGGTGGCTAGCAGTGAAATCCAGGTCGTGCGTTGCATTCTATTTGGATAACGTGATGGCATTTGAAACGAATGGTGCTGACTTTAAGTCGCGGAGTTAACGCAAACTCTGGGATACAGGTACATTCAGCTGACGAGTCTCAAATAGAATGAAGAGGGTATCATGGATTCCATTGCTAGCCACCATCATCTCCGCTTATAATATATATGATTGGAACTTTTGTAACATGATAATTTCGCATTACTGACGTATATTTTTGTTGATCATTTTATCATGTATGATACTATTCATAGTTTGATTTACATCGCCATTACTTCCCTTGAATACGTGATTAATCTACTTAGCACTGATACTATTTTATTATTTCCTACTAATTTCATATAAACTAATACGTAGAATAGTTGTTCACCCTATCTGGTCTATATTTATTACGATCATGAATCTTACAATTTCGCTTAACATATAGGCTGATTCAAGTCAATATTGCATGTAAATCATCTCAAAATTAATAATTTTATTTTGTTTAATAATCCTAAATTGACACGCTATAACTTTAAACCATGTACGTTGTCTTAGACCTTGCCACTGTTTGTAATATTAATTTGGATATATAATTGTAGAACCTGAAGAGAATTTTCTGAAAAGAATATTCTTCGTTCATATATTAGTGTTTTAATTTGATTGGAATTTTTAAACCCTTTATAATGTTTACAGTTGAAATCACGATTCAATCTAAGCTAGACCACATTTGGTAACTTGGAAGTACAGGACGGTCGTTTCGTCCTAGGATGGGACTCATCGACAGTGCGCATCGAAGATCCCATACTTGGACTGAAACCCAGTGCCTTTGGTTTAGCACGCGAACGCCCAACCTCTAACCCAACGAGCTGACGTAGTTTATCTATTTTAGTGACTTGTTTGATACATAAAACATTTTCCATGCAAAGTTTTCTTACTCTCATTTAGATGTTACTGCTGAATTGTTATTGCATAATGCTTTTCAATATATCTGATAATGTTAAATCCTCTCTAGTAATAAAAGTGATATGGGAGAGATAATTTAACACATTGATTGGAATAGATTCGCACTGACAATACATGAATC